AAACCTATAAATACAACCATTATGCTTTAGCCTAGGGTTTACAATCATAATTTATGTTACATAAACGTGAAGTTAGTTCATAACACAGAGGGTTGTGAACAGAGGCACTGTAAGAATTGTCAAGGAGAAGAACAGTGAGTACCAAGGGAGGATTTTGGTGGATTAGACCAGAACCAGAGGAGGTTAGAAGGTAGTCAGTGGTTGCCGAAAGTTAGGAAGACGGCGACAAAGTTTTGAGTCCAAAACTGCAGGCAAGTTCTTATCTTCCTCTTTTCCTTTGTCTCGTGTTCTGTGCATCTAGATAGTCTCTAGGGATTAACTAATTAGTAATTGAAACTTATGTGTTTAATGTGTACTGGTTGATGATCTGTTTGCATTGAATTCAAATCTGTTTACAGTTCGTGTATGGTTGCTCCCAGTTCTGTTCATTAAAGCATATTAAAATCTGTTGAGATTTTTGTTACGATTCTTGCTTTTATCTTCTGTAAATGAACCCTGGGGATGTTAATGGGATGATATAAGACTCCTAAGATCAGTTTGTGAAGAGGAACAGAGAGGTTGGAATAGAATTATAGTTTCAGTTTTGTTCCTAACGCGGGTTAGTTCGGTAGCAAATTTAATCTCTGTAATTGATTTTAATTGTTGTTATCAAGCCATTGGGATACTACTGGGTATTAATATGACACTTAAGATTAGTTTTAAAAACTAACAGAATGATAGGAATAAACTGGAGAAGGAGCACAAAAGCTGAAACCAAGCACCGGGGACTGAAGGCTCTCAAAGGAGGTGAGAGCCGGCTCCATAGAAGTGGGAGCCGGCTCCCACAACAAGTAGAGCCGGCTTTAAGGAATCCTAGAGCCGGCTCTAGGCTGAAAGAGCCTGCTCCCAAAATTTGGAGCAGGCTCCCTTTCATTTTACGTTTTGTTTTAATTTTTTTTTTTAGTTTTCTACGTACTGTGTTTTACTATTGAAGCATGGGATTTAATCTGTTGGTTCTGGGGTTCCACAGAGAGATTAGAAGGCTGAATTTGGGTATTATTAGGACCTTAAATTGATTAAGGTTTAATTCTAAATTGTCGGGACAAACAGTGTAAAAATTAAGGCACTTCCTATGTTGTTAACAAATGGAAGATAAATTAATTGTTGAATTAAATTTCAGCAATTTAATGGAATATAATGTGTTTATAAAACTTGTTTTAGAATGCATTCAAATACATGATAAGGTCATTTAATTATTAATTTTGATCTATGCATGCTTAGGAGGCTAGTTGCTGAATTATTAAATCGTTTCCTGCAACTATATGGTTAATGCTTGAACTTAAATTGCTGAAACATTAAACAATCTTCTGAAATTGTTTTAGCAATTTATTGGATAATAATAGGATTATTTAACCTATTCACATGCATGATGGAGTCCTTGACATATTAAATTTGGCCTATGCATGCTCTGGATGTTAGTTGTTGATTTATTAAATCGTCTCCTGCAACTATATGGTTAAATGCTTGGATTTAAATTGCTAAAACTTTAAATATTTTTTTACAATTATTTGGATGGTGGTTTTTGGTTTGTAAATTATTGAACTGTTATATATATTGTAACTTACATGGATATGGATGATTGTATGTACCGGTATGGGACGGTGACATACTAGGGACGGTTTAGCTCAAAACACATAAACCTAACCTAATGGATTAATGGAATGGATTGAAAGATATCGAATCCTAATTGTGACTAAGTCAGATCAGTTGTAACCAAGTTGGATGACTTCCTGGATTAACGGATGGTAGTTAAGTCATATCAACTGAATAAGTTGAGTGACTAACTAGTTGGTTTATTGTATGTCAGTTTAATAAATAGTTGAACTACATACCCTGGATTTGGACGGACTTTATATATATGTTTATGGTACCACGAGTTGAGCTTGAGTCTCAGACTCATTGGTTAGGGTGCGTAGATGCAGTAGATGCGTAACTGGTTATAATAGGTTGAGGTGTACCCTGTTAGGTCTAGGTACTCATGCCCACCTTTGGGTTCGTATTCGCATGTTGCCTTCTATTCAGGTTGAGACCCCTATTATAGACTAGTGAATGTCCCTTAGTGTGGATATATTTATACGTATGGACTAGATAGATATTGTGAGGTATCAACGGTGTATCTGCGTATCGGGTCACTGTATGGATTGCAGTTATATTAGAGCTTGCTCGTGGGTCTGACCCACTCCTTCATTATTTTTTTCAGGTACAAGACGGTTCCAGCCTTAGAGCTTGATCGTGTTTGTCGAGGACAGTCTCACCTTCATCTGATTATGTATGACTTCTCTCGATGTTTCTACCATTATCTATTTTCAGTTTTCAGTTGCAGTTGAACTTTTGGTTAGGGGTCCATCAGTGGATTCCCAAGTTGTAACCTTGAAGATTTGGAGGATTGGAGTTTCAATTTTCAGTTACACATGGTTTTATTATTATTTTTTTCTTTCAGCTTTATTCTATCTTTATTGTTTCTTTTTGTCATCTGTGTTCATTTTAAAATACTTAAATTGTTTGATATTCCCTCGGGTTTGGGCCTGGGCCTGATCAACCTGTATCTCGGATCCGAAGTGTATCACAAAAAAGTAACATCACCACCATTTATAAGTATCTTTCACCCTCAAAACATAGTGATGTTACTTTTTAGACTATATAATATTACTTTTAGATTTCTGTGATATTACTTATAAATGGTGGTGATATTTCTTTTTAAACTATTTTTACATTTCGCCACCATTTATAAGTAACATCACAGATTTTAAAAAGTAACATCACCATTTGTAAAAAAAAGTATCACCACTTTTAATTTCAAATAATAACATAAATGATATGTTGAATTGAGTTATGTTTATATATGACATTACTTTTTAAATTATGTGTTGTTATTTATAAATAGTGGTAAAATATTACTTATAAATAGTGGTGTAATTGGCCAAACACGATTTTAGTGTCCGTTAGTTGAAAAATGATCTGATCAAATATGGACCATTTAGAAGTAACAGCGGGAAACTGCATGGAGCCTCACTACATGTGATTCGCGCCTGTAAGTGAGAAGCTTTGACACGCCTGAGGCGCCACGCACTTAGTACGTTTTATTCGGTGTGTGAAGTTTGAGTTTTGGTGGGACCATTTTCTCACGTTATATCTTTCCTCACAGTAACTCACGGCCGCAGTTGAAGAATAATAAACCTCCCGCGCTGGTCTATGCGATGTCCCACGCTCACTAGTAGCGCGTGCAAGTCAAATTACATTGAATAACAAAATTCACCACGTGTGGCGGCGTTGCCAAATGACAAACAGCCAGAACTAAGTGAGGAGTGATCCTAGGTCAATTATTAATTTTTTTTGTTTGTGATATGGAGTTAACGATTGAGACCATATAATAATTTTTTCTATGCTTAAAATTATTTTTCTTTCATGGTGATTGCCGGCTGTCTAATTTCTTCTTCTCCTAAATATTATTATTATTTCTGTTGTTAATAAAATGAACTTACTAGGGTAACAAAAATTACTCATTCTATTACTATGAGGTGAACTCTATTATGAATAACACATCATCTAACAAAAAATTTAATACATTTATGAGATTTACTATGATATCTCAACACATATCATCTAATGCTATCGAGAAAAATCACCAAATTTTAAGTCCTTGATTGAGGCATGAGGCAATTTTTCCTAAAGGCACTTTATATTTTCTTAATTTAATTACTCATGTAGCAATTATTTTAAATACATTCATAAACTTTATACGATTGTACAATGATCGTGTTGTTCAAGTGATTAGAATTTTTTTCAGTGTTTATTAAGGCAACCGAAGGTGATAATTTCTTTTCAAGAATGAATAATATATGTATTTATTATTTAAATAAATTAATTCGAATTACATAGTCAATCAATCTATTCAAGTTATTCAACCTAACATGTTCAGTACAAACCAAAAAAAATCATTTAGCCTCGTATCATTTAACAAATAAATCTTACGCTTAATTTGTTTATTTCTGAATTAAATTTTAAATTAGCTGAGTTCGAATTGCTGGTAAACCAAGTCACAATCATTTTACAAATCCTAAAATTTACGCACATTGTTTGGCATACCACCCGTATAATTTGTTTTGTTGCAATTATACAGATATGTGCACGTGGCAGTGATATAGCAATAGAATATGGTTGCAGAACAGCTGGTGAATAAAGTATGTAACGTACATACCAAAAATATGAAAGAATAAATGAGAGAATAAAATAAAAGCTTGTAACGTATCTACTACTAGGTGGAGATCACCTCTTTCTCTCACTGTCCCTATTCTCTCAGGCCCACCAATCACAGCTCGCCACATCACAATCTTAGGGCATTCTAGTCATTGTACAAAGATTATATCTCCACAAAATGACCACAATGCCCCCGCTTTCAATGGTGGTTGTATTGTAGTTTTTGTCCATCACAGCTCCACCACATCCATCACTGTATTCTGTAAGGGCATTCTAGTCATTGTACTAAGACTACATCTCTACAAAATGACCACAATAACCCCCACCTTCAAAGGTGGTGGTTATTGTAGTTTTGTCAATCACAACTCCACCACATTGTGAAGACTACATCTCAACGAAAATGGCAAAAATACCCCCACATTCAAAGGTGGTGGTATTGTATTTTTGTCCATCACAGCTTGCAAGGCATTCTAGTCATTGCAACAATGATTACATATTTACAAAATGACCAAAATGCCCCCACTTTGAAAGGTAGTTTTGTCAATCACAGCTCCACCACATCGATCACTGTATTCTGTAAGGGCATTCTAGTCATTGTACTAAGACTTAAATCTCTACGAAATGACCAAAATGCCCCCACATTCAAAGGTGGGTTGCATTGTAGTTTTGTGAGCGAGGGTACAGGCAATCAGTACTAATGGCTGTTACAAAAGTTGGAAGTAAAGGAGGAAGGAAGGGTATGTAATATAGAGAGTGTTAAAGTCATTGGTACTACCCACCAAATAAGTGGTGGGTGGTGGCTATAAAGAGATTGGTATCACACTTTACCTCCTCCCTTGCTCGCTCATCCATCATCTCATCTCCTACCTACAAAAACAAGTTCCTTGAGGAGAGAGAGAGAGAGAGTTTTAGAGAGAGAGATGGGGAACTGCCAAGCTATTGACAATGCAACTCTAGTGATACAACACCCATGTGGTAGAGTGGAGAACCTGTATTGGCCTGTTACTGCTAGCGAGGTCATGAAAACGAACCCTGGCCACTATGTTGCTCTTCTCCTAAACACCACTTTGTGCCCATCCACCGCCACCGCCACCGCCACCACCACCAACAACCCGGTTCGCATTACGCGTATAAAGCTTCTCCGGCCAACGGATACTCTTGTCCTTGGACAGGTCTATAGACTCATCACTGCTCAAGGTTTGTTAATCATAAACTGGTTTTTATATATTTGATTTGGATTTTATTTTTGAACAAGTTTAGTTAAAATTGAGTATTAAACTTTGTGTTTTTTTTTTTGGGTTTTTAGAGGTGATGAAAGGGCTGTGGGCAAAAAAGTATGCAAAGAAGAAGAAAGAGTCGGAATCAGGAGAGAATCAAGAGAGAAGAGCAGCAAGATCTGAAATGGAGAACACCACCAACCAGGTGAATTTCTTTAACCCTCTATCATTCCTTTTTTTTTTTTTTTTTTTTTCAATTGATGAGTTCAAACACACATAATTTAAAAAAAAATCACAAGAGAAAAAAAAAAAATTGTTTTCTCTTACCTTTGGTGGGTTTTGTTTTTTTTCCACAAAATGATTCAAATGAAGCTGTTTTATAGGGTTCTTCGCAAATCTTGAACCTCTGCTCATAGTTGATTCATAATTAAAATATATAGAAACACAAGGCAAGCAAAAATAACTGTGTTGAGAGAGAATTGTTTATTTATGCTTAATCCATATATACAAGACCATGTTTATAATTTGATTTGTGAGTGACTGCGCATATCCGGAGTTTGAAAACCATATCACAGTTCAAAGTGACTTGTGGGTGGGTTGATTTTTCATTACCAAAAAAGAATAAATAAAAGGCAGCAAATTTGTTCAATCTTACAGAATCAAATTAAGGCAAGAGACAGAATAATACCAGAGCCTCCTATTGTGAAGGGGTAACAAGAACACATCTAAAAAGCTCATTGATTTGTTAAAAACATTGATTCTCAATTTCTCTTTCATTAAAAGTTGTTCTCTAAATGTGTATACACAAAACTGCAGGTGACGAAACCCGAAAAACATCGATCAAGGACATCAACAGGGAACTCTGCCGCCGCCGCTGCCGCCGCCGCCGCGGCCAAAGCAAGGGTATGGCAGCCGTCATTGCATAGCATCTCTGAAGGTGCGAGCTGATTGTGTGTGTGAGAAAGGGTGTAGAACTTGCCCTGATGTGTAGAACTTGTATAGCAAAAAGAAACAGAAGGCACATCAAGTGTTGTTGTAATCAACTGCTACTCTTTAATGGAATCAGACTTTGTTAATATTTCTGTGCTATTTCAGAAGTCACTTGCCAAGAACACATGCAAAATTAAGAGGAGTAGAACAAGAAGACTATGAAACAATCATGTCATAAGAACAAAAATGCATCCTGCACACATTCACACACACATATTGTGCCAATTATGTAAACAGGACATTTCCAGCATTTGGCTATCTATGCATGCACCAGAAATTTATTGGACCTGTGCAAAACATTCCCTCCACACGGATTAGGTAAGACTTGGACTATGTCTACCGGGTATGACCTCTAAGGAATTGTTTGCGCCTATCCTATCTTGAGACGTGAGCGGCTAATAGCCACAATTTTTGAGAGACAATGACTTAATAATGATTCTCACAGAGAAAATAGAAAGAGAGATTAGTTTGAGTTGTCTTAGGCTAGGGGTAATTGAACTTGAGAAAGGTTCAATTCTGAAAAGTAACATCCTGCATAGGAGAGCCTAGGAGGGGACCATCACTGGGTGGTGTGCTCCTTTTTCATTTTCTCAGTAGCTTTCACCTGCTAGTTAGAAACACTTGCTGGGGATCACCTAATTTTACCCAATTCCTTGTTAATACAGACAGAAAGTGTTGGGACATTTCTTGAAAAAGCTTTGAACAATATGATTGTGTTTATTAGGTGTGACAGTCATTTCATCCGTCACTGGGTGACCACCAAGAAGTAGAAAGTCGAAAGGAAACGAATGACACTGCACGCCACAAAGCCTTTGCTCAAGTGGTATGTCCTCCACCTCTCCGAAAGAGAGGTTGAGGGTTCAAGATCCACAAAGCTTTAGCTCGAGTGGTATGTCTTCCACCTCTCCGAAAAAAAAGGGTCAGGGTTCAAGATCCAGTGGGAGTACATGTTGAGTAAATTTACCTTTCGAAAAAAGAATGAAAAAAAAAAAAAAAAAAATTTACACAAATTTTAGGCACATTTTTCATTTCAATAATTCAATCAATCCCACTGCCAACATACAGTTCAAAAAGATTTACTCTCGTTTTTCAGAAGTAAAAGTGGAGAAAAGAAATACCTTCTGCTATATTGCTATTTTCACCTTGATTTGCACTAAAGAAATGTTGCACATATATATATATATCTATATATATCTTTCCCTGTTTCTTGTTACCAGTACAAGTCTTTATATAAACAATGAAATGGAGAAATGTTAAATAAACACTACCTGTAATCATCAAGCCTGTGCATTTTTGACTCAGAGACAATCATACCAATCAGCTTTAGTGCATTCGAAGAAGTGTAATATTAACTTAGTACACCATTAGATCCTTCACTTTCTTTTAGTTTCTAAAGCAATCAAAACTAGAGGTGTAAAAAGCAAAAGACTGGCTTTAATAATGATTTTAAGATATTGCATGACCTCACAGAGACCATCATTAGGAACCTCACAACCAGCTCATTACAAAGAACAATCTAAGCATGAAAATAAGTGCAATGACACTTTTTGGATATCCAAAGTTGCACAAGAATAGTTTATACACAGTAAGCATGAATGTTTAAAGAAAGATCTTCAAAGTTCATCGAAATGAATAGAATTCCTTATATGTGGGCCACAGAGTACACGTGTACTCATCACCATAGTGCATGTACACTTCAGATCATTTGATTAATATATCTTTTGAGAATCCAGCCCACCCAAATGCAATCATTTCCTCTACAGTCAACCAATGAGTTGTCAGGCAGCATATACTGTAGAATTTTGGATTGTAGGTATTTGAGCTTGCTATGTTATATTAATTGAACCTTTCAATTACTATGATTGAGGAACAACTTAAACTAGGTGAAATCATACAGATCACTTTATAACCAGAGTGAATATTTTTCAATTTTTTCTTTTTTTTTTTTAATGTTTGGTGAGCGTGAAAGGTAGTCTTTTGAGGGGGTGAGAGAGCTCACTTTTTCAGTCCAAATAGATGTCACACTTGTTGATCACAGAGCTACAGAAGCTATTATCCATGTTGATATTAGATCCCCCTAGAAGGATGATCTCATTCATTGGGCTTAGCATTTTCAACCTACATTTGATGAAAAACAGCCAGAACATCCTTACCAAGCCACACCAACAACAACAAAGCCTTTTTTCTCAACTAATTCGAGTCCGCTAAATGTATCCTTATTTTCGATTCCAATCAAAGGCTTCATGTTCATATCGGTTATGACAAAAGTTTTACGCTAGATGTCAAGCTACCTAACAAAACCCTCCTTTTTTTTCGCCCTAGTTAACCCTCCTCCTTTATGCGGGCTTAGGACCGAAGTTGCACCCAAAACACCAAGAAGAGTTGTATCCTCTGGTCTAGTGCATTCTGCTAAAATGTCCAAACACTGAACTAGCACTTCAATTCCAAGCACATGCTTTGATAATCCCATATCAGGCTTGCCTATTTGAGGAGATCTTTTTATCAATCCCCTCAAAATCCCTTTTTTCCCAAAATCTATCCTTCCACAATCTGTATGCACATAGATTGGAGCAGTTGACAGGTTTGAACTATTTTTTGAACTCCACTCTTGTCCATATAAACATAAATCCATTTCCATGGTCCAAGGCACCAAAATGAGCACAAGCTCATAATCACAAAGTAAAGCTCATTCCTTGTGCTTCACCTTATCATCACATAACATATAACTAAAACACCTAAGCAGCATTGTTACACAGCTCAATGTCCAGCATAAGTCACAAGCATCATTACCCATGAAATGTCATCCCATTCAGCCATCTTTTTAAACAATTCTCTAGCTTCAACTTCTCACATGTAACAGACCCTCTTACTAAACTAGTCCAAGTACCTGTGTGTGTAATATTTGAGTGACTGTGGCACCGAAGGACTCTGGAATCGGTAACTTGGTGCTATCAAAGTACCCACCGACTAATGTTTTATCGTCACCAAAAGAAAACTGAATTTAACTGTTAAGATGATGATCATGTTTGTTGGGATGAGAGAATAGACCCATCCATAAGACAGCAAAGCACAATCTTATTTACATGAATCAAATGACTGTTTGTCAGAAAGGGCCTCGGTAGCATTGCCCATGGCACTTAGCAGAGCTATATCTTCTTCTATCCTATTGCAGAATAAATTCAAAGAGGAAGCTAGCAGTTTGATACCATAGCTACAATTACATACATTGATATAAGCTAAACTGGAGAGACATTATAGATCTAAATGAAGCATGACTCTGGACGGCCGTTGAATTGATAGCACATTCCAAAGTGAGCTTAAGAGTATTCCCAGGTGGCATACCAAAAAGCAACCCGAGGTGGTTTAAAAAGTCTAAGAATGAACCCGAAAATAGAGTACTATTAGATTTTGATGATGTTCTAGTGCGAGCGGATGTTTATCAACTTAACAAAATTAAATAGAGGACTAAATTAATATAACAACCACTTCTCAGACATTACTTGTTCAGGTTCACACCCCAAAAATTAGAAACTGGGATACATCTGTATTCAAGTCCTTCCTCTAAATATCATACCTACAAAGAAAGGTGGCCTATAATTTCAACTTTTATAGTACATAACAGTTTAATTCAACAATATGCTGAGGAACCTGCTATTTATGTTTCACCATTGATATATAAACCTAATGGCATTACAAGAAAGATTTATTAAAAGTACAAAACCCCAATTCTTCAACTATTATTTATTCATGCTCATGCTTGAAAAATTAGAAACGGAGACTCACCTCTATTTAAGACTCTTCTCTACAAAAACATATCTTTATATTTTGCCCATAATCTCAACTCTTGTACTTAAGTTGAATCTGACTCTGCTTAGAAACCTGCTATTTATGTGATATCAGAATGTCACCGCTGATATAAAAATCTTCGTGTCCTCACCCAGATGCTGTTTTCTCAGTCACTCCTTTACTTTGTTCGTGCTTGTCAAGTTGGCTGAAGTTCCCTTTCTCCTTAAAGAGCTGAGAGTGGTGGTGCTTACAGTAGAGTTGATGTTCATGGGCCACATAGTTTGACGGGCTTATCATACAACCTCCATGGGAGCACTTGAAACAAGCCCTATGGTATGAGGTGTCATCAACTGCCACCTGAAAGAACACTAATAAGACTCTTGAGGAGAAACCATGTGAAGTCCTATAATATGAACAAGCTATAGAACCGCCCGGTAATGGAAGTTAAATTTTCATCTAGCTAGCATGCATTGGAATATGGAAAGATTAACTGAATATGCCACCTTAATAGATATATATATATATATATATTTTAAATTACTTTCTTTTTCGTATACATGTAGCAGTTTTATAACGGAAGTGCCAAAAAGTCAAGATCATAAAATGTGCTTCAGCTAAACTGGTCCACAAATTAGGAAGATGCTTTAAATAATCATTTTCTGTTGAATCTAGAAATTGGGTTTTAAGTAAAAACAACAACAATTGCCCCTCTTCCTTCTCATTACTTTCTCCATACATTTTTTTTTCCCCAAAAACTTTATCCATACATTCATTAGTGTATTAGAAAATAATGCATGGTGGGACACTAACTTGTCACGTATAGTCTGTAAATTTTTTTATTTTTTTTGCTTGAACACTTGACTTTTTAAGTAACTTTCCAATTAAAATGCACTAGTTATGAGTTCTATACTTAGTTTTTTAGTATCAGAAATTTATTAAATTAGAAAAAAAAGGGATTATACATTTGTTTGGATTCTTGAAAGTTTTTATCTCTTCATTTACTTTTCCTTTGAGCTCTCTCTCTCTCTATGTATATATTTTTACGTTCATCAAACAAATATATATATATATATACACACACACACACATTGCACAATCACTGTGTTACTGGAAGAAACTTGTAAAAGCCAGTGTTATGAAATCGTTAGGACCAAGTCCAAACCAAGGCATAATAGGTCTAGACTAGACCAGATGTTAGAGAAAAATATTAAACAAAACAAAAATTAGAATTAAATCAGACCTACACAAACATCTTGAGCAAAGTTGCACAGAAGTTTGCAAGAACTATCGATAGAGGAAAAAATGATTATTTTCAAGCAACAAAAATGATTACTTTCAGCAAAGTTCATGCCCCATTTACGTTAAAATGCTAATTTTATTTATTTATTATTATTATTTTAATGATTAATGTTGAAGCAAGATTTCACGGCGACCCGGAATGACGTCGAATCTAAAGAAGAAAGAGAAAAGGTGATCGGGAAGGCACTGGCGTAAGAGCCTCTGATGATGAAAAGAGACGAAAGCACTTTCTCAGGGATTTGTGTCGTACCTGCTTAGTTGACCAAAACCCCCTCTTTATAGAGGTACCAAGTTGCATTCAAGTAGGAAAGTTATTACTTTTACTTTTCCAACACCGATGGGGAAACCTTCCTTTATCCTTATCCTTCAGTTATTGGGAAACCTGTCCTACTTCATAACCTTTCTGATGATGGTCAAGCTTCCTGCTAGGTAAAGACTCCATATTAGTTACCACCCCATTCTCAAACACGAAAATGTCAGTGTTGTGCATCTTATATTTTTCTTTATCCCGAGTCAATAATATGAAAAAATAGCACAATTTTTGCTATATAATAACACCTTGTTAGCGATCTTACAGATGCTACGAACATAAAAAACAATTTATTAATAAGCAAGTACATATCTATGTTTACTTGTGCATAGATAATATTTTAATGCAAATAATAAAGAAAGGGCTTAGATATAAATATTATTAGCTGAATGTAAACATAAGAATTCACGCAGCTTAGCCGGTCAGTGCATCCAACTACCATCCTAGGGTCTTGGGTTCAAGCCCTCATTCTAGCACCAAAATGCCTCTATTTTTAATCAAAGAAAGAAGCAGCAGGAAGGCGGTAGGATGCTGCCACATGGCAGAGAGAGAGAGATAGAGGCAACAAGTGGTTTCACAGAGGTAGCAAGCCAAATCGGTGGCAAGATCAAGAAAAGATTCGCCCAGAAGTAACAATACCAGAGTAAGAATAGGAAGCTAGGAAGCAATTTCGGTACCAAGATCAAGAAGCAATACTAGAGTAAGAGATAGGAAGCCAGTTGAATGGTCACATGATAGAGAACAGTGGCAGCAGCCTTTGAAGGTATATAAAAGGCGTGGCAAGGATCTAAGGCTCAAACCTTAATTTGGCACATGCTAGACGATGGGTCCACTTGGAGTCTTGCATAATTAGGGGGATTCAACTCGTCCCGATCCTCACTCTGCTCTCCCAACTACAAGCTTTTCTTCTGCTCCCTGTGTTGTCGACTAATTCAAAAGATTGGGGGGACCTGAATCACGAGTGGCAAAGCTGCAATCAGTACTGAAAATAACCTCCGAAACAAAGAGGGAAAGAACAACCTCCTCATTTGCAGCGAGTCATGCTTTGCATTACAAATAGATATGGATTTCCCGAAAACTTTTCTAATACTAATAGGGCAGGAATTCTTTGAAAACGACTCTAGTTCCAGTTGACTCTCGGGCACACAGGCTTTAGACACGCCAACAGACACTTCTTTTCAGGATTTGGAAGCTTTTGACTCCCCTTTTGAGGCTATTGCTTAAGCCCCATGAATCGTATGTTTGTGACAATAGGGACAGAATTTTCGCAATTCCAACCAAACCCGTGGTTGATCCGGGGGGACAAAATCAAAGCGCTTGATCCTTAATTCCTACCGCTACCATATAGTATTCATCTCTACCTGGTGATAAATAAAGCACCCGTACCTTTTTTGGTCTTTCAGAAATTTCATAAAACGGGCTTTCGAGAGACCCCAAATGACCAATCCTCGCATGAATTGCTAAGGATCCAATAAGTCCAACATTGATTCCTTCAGATGTATCAATTGGGCAAATACGCCCATAGTAATCTCCCTAATTATGCAAGAGTCCAAGTGGACCCATCGTCTAGCATGTGCCAAATTAAGGTTTGAGCCTTAGAACCCTCCTTGCCACGCCTTTTATATACCTTAAAAGGCTGCTGCCACTGTTCTCTATCATGTGACCATTCAACTGGCTTCCGCAAAATGATTCCTCTCGCCATAGAGATATAAAACTGAAAAGCACAGATATGTATACCGTAACAAGGATATGATTCCTCTTCAGTTTTAATTTTTGTTTCAAATTTTGAATTGTTGCCGCCTTTCCACGCCTTTTTAAAGGCCAGCTGAAAGAAAGAAGATGCACTCCTCGGTTTCTTTCAACCTTTGGAGGTAAACTACTTCTCTTCGATTGTTGCTTTTCTTTTTTTTTTTTAAATTAGTTCCCATACTCTACTTCTTTCAGTGTGGCTAATGTAAACACAGAACCGGAAGACACCGTTCAATCTTCCAACTCAGAATCCAACTTGACAAATTTCCGATTCTTGTATTACATTCCTAGTTGTATTTCTATCCGTCCTCCCCTCCCCCATGAAAGGGCTTCAAAGGCTTCTAACTGTGAACTTTGCCTTTTTAAGTGTGCCTTTGTGGCTGGTTTACGTCTTCCCTTCCCTCCTTTTATTAAGGAGTTTTTCAGCTTTTTATTGCTCTCAGTCAACTAAACCCGAATGCCTGGAAAACTCTAATGGGATGTCTCGTATTATGGAAGGTCTATGGCAACGCTCCCCTAACCATAAATGAGAACCTCTACTACTACATTCCGAAGAGAGTAGACCGATGGTTGAATCTAACTAGTCGGGGTGAGTGTCCCCTAATTGAGGGACCCAAACAGGCCAGTCTGGAGTGGAGAAGCCGCTTCTTCTTTGTTTAAAGCAACAACTAGGAATTTTCTTGCCAAACAGGGGTTCTCCATCCTCTGAACTTGGGGTCAATTAGGCCTCAATGGTGGGTTAAATATTTATGCGTGTCTCATTATATGGGGGCTAACATCCACTCATTTCCGCAGGTTTCCAACTATCATCCTTCTCTAGGGGTGGCAAAAATCCCCAACCCAGTGGGGAATCGCCCCGCCCTCGCCCCATTTAAAGCGGGTTTGGAGAACTGTTTACTTAAATGGGGTGGGGATGGGGGTTAAAAAAAAAAAAACCGGCCGGTTGTGGGGCGGGGGCGGGGGACTAAGATCCCCGCCCCATAACCGCCCCGTTTAATATGTTAAATTACTAATTTACCCTGCCATGTTAATATATTTACCAAATTAACCTTCACTATATATATTGGAAACCCTACACTTCAGTTTCAGACATCACTTTCATTTCGTTGCTATTGAGACGGCAGCCGTGTCTCTGTCTTTGAGCTCTCTCTCAAACCCATCATTGAATACATCCACCATTTCATTTTGCTATTGAGTCAGACCAAATCCGGATGAGTCGTTGGAGAGTGTGGTTAGGGACGAGGTCTGGAGGCTGTTGGGTGAGTTCGCCATCGTCAAGCCAGCGTTGGATGTTGGAGCGGTCGTAGGTGACTCCGCTGTGGAGAGTCACAGGGGTTTTAATGACGTCCAGTGAGATTGGACACTTGAAGAAGCTAGGAATTATGATGTCCAAACTTCTTGGTTGGTTTGACTGTGAATCTGGAGGCTGTTGGGTGAGTTTGGGAGGCGGCGAGGCGGTGGGTGAGTCGGGATCAAATCGAGTCAAACTAAATCCGGATGAGTTGTTGGAGAGTGTAGATTTTATAGTTTGCAGTTGCAGAGAGAGAGAGAGAGGGTAAGTTCAGAGTTTTGATTTTTTGATTCTTGAACAATCTGAAATGATATGCCGATATGGGTTTTGAACTTTTGATTCTTGCAGACAGATAGATAAACTGAAAATATATGGGTTTTGACCTTTTGATTCTTGTAGATTTTGTAGTTTGCAGTTGCAGAGAGAGAGAAAGAGAGGGCAAGTTCAGAGTTGAGAATGAGAATTGAGATGGAGGCGACTGGGGAGGCTAACATGATTTGCACTAAAAATATAATCGGTTATGGGGCGGGGCCGGGGGCGGGTGATGGGGATTAGAGGCATAAAATTAACTAGTTATGGGGCAGTTTTGGGGGTACCAAAATTAAACGGGGGCGGGGATGGGGAATGAAAAACCCGCCCCAAACCGCCCCATTGCCATCCCTATCCTTCTCAACTGAGGTGGAGAAGAATATAAAGCATTCTTCTTTGGTAACTCCAATCTCCCTGCTTGCCTCTGGACTTTGTCGTGGGGTGGCATCCGCCGAGACCTCTCCTTTTAAGGCTTCCTCAAAAGGTACGACTCCCCTTTCTTCATTTATTTATACATTCGCTTTACAAGTAGCAATTACCTTATCTAATTGATTCATGTCTAGATTCATTTGCCATATCGTCAAGGAGATTTGGGAAGGACATCATTTCTCACGTTCAGGAGGAACGATCCAAGGAAAAGACCCTACTGCACTTCCCAAAAGAACTCGACCATCCCAAAACGAAGGGAACCCCCCTTCGGTTGGCGGTTCTTCTTCACCCGCGGTCTTCCATGGCCAAATTGTGCAAGAAGAGTCACTCCCCTCTCCAGCGGCGTTCATCCATTCACCTGGTGTATCTATTCTAGATGACATGGCTTATGCCCATGACGTGGTGGATAGGGCGTTAGTGAATCTATATGACTCTGAGAGGCTTAAGTCAACTTCAACCAAACACCTTTCGTACATACAAGTACACAATGTTAGTCGGGTAAGAGCAACTCCATCAGTGCTCTTTTTGACGAAATTGGGCCAATTTTTGAAGATTGGATGCTCCAATGGACTATGGGAAAAGTGGGCCCCAAAGAATGACTCTTGATGGAGGTAGCTAGAAACCAAGAGTGGGTTGGTGATTCTTGGTTTCCTAACGGCTATAAAATTTATAGCCGTTAGAAATATAGCCGTTAGGAAAAAGTTAAAAAATAAATTTTATTTTAAATTTTAAAAATATTAAAATATTAATATTTTTGGAGAGCGAGAGTGCACCATTAGAGTACATGCGATAGATAAAATTTAGAGACTCTAAAATGCTGACGTGGGTATAGAAAATGTTTATGTGGCTATTGAAAAATGCTGATGTGGCAAATTCGGAGAGCCTAATTTTAGAGAGTCTATTGGAGATGCTCTAAGGGCATCTTGTTACCTTTTACTGCTTTGGTTGAATTTTTACAGCTTGATCACTTATTTAAAGATTTTTGATTCCTTACAAATGGAGGCATACTCCAAGGAGTTGTCCCAACATGCTTTACTGGCGAAAAAGAGCGTGGCCTTCCCGAAGACGGAGTTGAAAACCGAACAGCAGAGTCACAAAGAGGCCGAAGCTAGTTGGAATTTAGAGAAAGGAAGGCTTGAGATGGTATCTCAGAAGCTAGCTATTGAAAGATCTAATCACATTTGATAGCCAGTTGAGGTGCTGTACCTCTCGAATAAAATTGGCCTTCAATAGCTTCTTTACCTCCTCTGGTATGGCCAAGTTCCTTTCTGGAGCGAACACCCGTCTCTTATCTAAAGGGTTTGAAAGATGATAAAATTGGCCTTCAGCAACTTCTCTAATTCCTTTGATATGGCCAAGTTCCTTTCTAGAGCGAACACTCGTCTCTGACATGTTTGAAAGATGGATCCACATTGAGTTGATGTTGCACAATAGTGGGGTCTATGCCAGGCATGCCCTCATGTATCAATGCAAAAACATCTTGGTTCCTTCTTTCAATCGCTAGCTTTCGAGAAAAGTCCCTCTTAAGCATTCCCCCCTCTCTAAACTCCAACCAGCCTCAGCCTCTGTGCGACTCTACTGTTCGATTTTCAACCCCGTCTCCAAGAAGCCCACGCTCTCTTCTGCCAGTAAAGCACATCGGGACAACTCCTTAGAGTATGCCCCCATCTGTATAGGGAATCAAATTTCTCTAAATAAGTGATCAAGCCATAAAAATTCGACCAAACCGGTAAAAGGTAACAAGATGACCTTACCCGACCAACATTGTGTGCATGTATGCACGAAAGGTAATTGGTTGAAGCTGATTTAAGTCTCTCAGAAGCGTATGGAGTCACTAACGCCTTATCCACCACGTCATGGGCATAAGCCATGTCGTCTAGAATAGATACGCCAGGTGGATGGTTGAACGCTGCTAGAGGGAGCGACTCTTCTTGCACAAGTTGGCCATGGAAGACCAGGGGTGAAGAACAACCGCCGGCCAAAGGGGGGTTCTCTTTGTTTTGGGGTGGTTGAGTTCTTTTGGGAATCCGCAACAAGGTCTTTTCCTTGGATCGTTCCTCCTGAACGTGAGAAAGTATGTCCTTCCCAAATCTCCTTGACGATATGGCAAATGAATCTAGACATGAATCAATAAGATAAGGTAATTGCTACTTGTAAAGCGAATGCATAAATAAATGAAGAAAGGGGAGCCGTACCTTCTGAGGAAGCCTGAAAATGAGAGGTCTCGGCGGATGCCACCACACGACAAAGTCCAGAGGCAAGTCAGGATATTAAAATTACCAAGGAAGAATGCTCTAAAGCTTTCTCTATATTCTTCTTTGCCTCAGGTGAGAAGGATGATAGTTGGAAACCTGCAAAAATGAGTGGATTCAGCCACCATATAATGAGACGCGTATAAATATTTAACTCACCATTGAGGCCTAATTAACCCTAAGTTTAGGGGACGGAGAACCCCCGTTCGGCACGAGTATCTTGGTGAGAAAATTCCCAGTCATTGCCCTAAACAAAGAAGCGGCTTCTCCACTTCGGACTGGCCTTGTTAAGTCTCTCAATTAGGGGACACTCACCCCGGCTAGGTAGATTCCACCATTGGTCTACTCTATTTGGAATGTAGCAGAGGATCCCATTTATGATTAAAGGAGTATTGCCACAGACCTTCCATAATACGAGACATCCCATTAGAGTTTTTTAGGCATTTTGGGTGAGTTGCCCCAGGGCAATAAAAAAAGATGAAAAACTCCTTAATAAAAGGAGGGAAGGGAAGACGTAAACCAGCCACAAAGGCACACTCAAAAAGGCAAAGTTCACCGTTTGGAGCTTTTGAGGCCCTTTCATGGAGGAGGGGAGGATGGATAAAGATACAACTAGGAATGGAGTACAAGAATCGAAAATTTCTCAAGTCGGATTTTGAGATGGAAGATTGAACATCTTCTGGTTCCGTGTTTTACATTATCCATGTCGAAAGAAGTAAAGTATGGGAACTAATAAAAAAGAAGAAGAAGAAGCAACAAGCAAAGAATCATAAAACTGAAGAGGAATCATATCCTTGTTACAGTATACATATCTTTGCTTTTCAGTTGTATATCTCTATGGCGATAGGAATCACTTTTCAGATATCTCTTGTGATGTGAACATTTGACTTGGCTTCCTATATCCTACTCCGGTATTGCTTCTTTTGAGCAAATCTTGCTGCCGAAATTGCTTCCTAGCTTCCTATTCTTACTTTGGTATTGTTTATTTTGGGCGAATTTTTCTTGATCTTGCCACCGACTTGGCTTGCTACCTCTGTGAAACCACTTGCTGCCTCCATCTTTCTCTCTCTCTCTCTCTCTCTCTCTCTCTCTCTCTCTGTGCCACGCGGCAGCGTCCTACCGCCTTCCTGCTGCTTCTTTCTTTGATAAAAGATAGAGGCATTTTGGTGCTAGAATGAGGGCTTGAACCCAAGACCCTAGGATGGTAGTTGGATGCACTAACCGGCTAAGCTGCATGAATTCTTATGTTTACATTCAGCAAATAATATATAACTAAGCCCTTTCTTTATTATTTGCATTAAAATATTATCTATGCACAAGTAAACATATATATGTACATGCTTATTAATAAATTGTTTTCATGCTCATATCATTTGTAAGATTGCTAGCAAGGTGTGTTATTAATGTGATATAGCAAAAAATGTGCTATTTCAGGATAAAGAAAAACAGAAGACGCATTACACTGACATTCTCTAAGTTTGGCATGCAAACACAAGAATGGGGGGCAACTGATATGGAGCCTTCACCCAGCAGGAAGCTTGACCATCACCAGAAAGGTTATGAAGTAGGATGGATTCCAATAACTGAAGGATAATGATAAAGAAAGGTTTCCCATCTGTGTTGGAAATCTAAAAGCAATAACTTTCCTACTTGAATGCCACTTGGTACTTCTATAAAGAGGGGGTTCTGGTCAACTAAGCAGGTACAACACTAATCCTGAGAAAGTCCTTTCCTCTTCTTTTCATACTTCCGATCTAGCACTGACTTGATCATCGGAGGCTCTTAGGCCGGTACCCCACCGATGCCTTCCCGATCACCTTTTCACTTTCTTCTTTAGATTCGACGTCGTTTCGGGTCGCCATAAACTCTTGCTTCAACAATTAACATAACAGTGCAAGTATTTACCTTTTCTATCGGGTACACAGTTCTCTTGCAAGCAAAACATTTTTCTTGAGTTCCAGCAAACATACTTGAAACTTTGCTGCTGGTATGACCCTGTGCAATTTCATTCAAAAGTTCGTAATTAATAACTAATATGACAAACACGTAAAGCTTCAAAAAACTCAGTATTAACTCCTCAATATAACCTATATGTCTAACAGAGAGGGATTGTTAAACTTGGCCATTATACCTGATCAGCAGATCGATCAACTCTAACAGTTTTTGGAGTACCTAGAAGATTTAAACGAAAAGAAACATATAAGAATAAAGCACTAAGCTTATACATAACAGAGGAAGTGAATATTCCTGAGAAGTGGGACACCCTCAGCTACCTTCAAAACTTTTATCCAAGCTGCCTGTCATCTTAAAAAGTTGATCAAAATGAGGCTTGCAATATAGCACACCTTCAAAGGAGCAATAATTACTCAGCTGAAAGGAAGAATGAAATTTAAGGGTATATTAGGAAATAAAAAATTACATATATGGTTGGAAATGTAGAAATATAAGAAAGAGATAATACCCTTTTTTTAACAATGTTAAACAAGAATCAATGGAGAAACCTGCATTTTATTCAATAAAAGATCTCATGCAGAAGCTCAAGGAACATAAAAGAGGTATATGAAGACCGAATCGGGGTTTGAAGCACTGACAGGCTAGCGCAGATTTTGGATTCTCCAATCTGTCACAGACATCACTTTTAGGATACAATAGCAACAATTACAAGAATTTCCTATGTGACTACATGCCTTATTCATGAAGATCAATTACTTATTCACATCAACCAGGTTTTGGTGTCGGGAATAAATGGTGGTCCTTACAATTTACTTTATCTATATTACTAGGATATATGAGACCACTAATACAATTTCAGCCACAAAATTCTTTAATTTAATTTCAGGAAGACGAGCAAAAATCTTTGCCGTGTTTCTATAAAATCAAAGGAAGAAAATGAGTCAGCTAATCACACTTTCCCTATGAAAGAAATGGCTCCTCCTTAAATGCATTGTCACCTTATTACAAATGAGGAAATCAGGAATTGTAGAGATTCTGACATCAAGTGGTTAGCCAGAACTTGAACCTGCAAGCCTTTGTTCCAACTATCTGGTTTTATGGAACAGTCATTGATCAAGCTTCGGGACTATTTCATGACTCACTCTTTGCTTGACACCAGTCCTCTATAAAATGAACCGAAAATCTAAGAAGGTGCTTGGTTGCAGACATGCTAGCCGTGAACGTTGGCTAATATGTTGACACCAGTTGCTAAGTAGGGGAATTGGTCCCATTGTTTAAGGAAGTAAGTCCCTGTAACTAAAGGTCCTAATTCTCCTACACTTCAAATTGTCTAGTCAAAAAGGGTAGAAGGTCCATTTGCTATAGGGAACTGAATTCATCTCTTTAGTATTTGACTACTTAAGAGAGTCAGACAAGAATCCCTATTGTGACAAAAATCAGTGGTAGAACAAAATTTTGTAACTATACTAGGTTTACGTCTTTAGTCATCTTCAAGAAGAATGCTAATGTTGCTAAAATGAAAATCTAAAGGCAAACATACCGACAGAGATGGAAAAATTAGATCTTGTATGAGACAACTAATTGTCTAATGAGAAGATATACGTGAGGCCATTAGAGAGGATGATGAGGAATGGGATAGATATAGTAAGAGAATTTTAAAATGTCATCCTTTCAATTGATGAAGTGACAAATCAACTGATAGGGGGACCAGCAAGGAGTCATATTTTGACATTGAAGATACCACATGAACAGGAGAATGGCCAAGATGACATGAATTGAAGTAATGAGAGAAGACACTCTAACCTATTTTGGAAAAATGATTTATGGATAAACAGAAAGGAGAAATGAAGTCTGAATGTCCAACTGAAACATGCATAGCTGGAGTTACCATGCCCGAATCATGGAGCAGGATTTGTTGATGAGATAAAATAGTTGAATAAATCCAACTGATTTGTACATTCTTATTGATCAAATCCTGGTGAAAAAAGATCATACTACCAAAACATAGAACAAAGAGAATTACCAGCTAAGGATGGACATATAGTTACCATCTTCAGGATTAAAAAAGAACACGAGATGTTAGGCAGTTCATGAACCAAGCATCTTTGGAAGCTAATTAGAAAAATAAATAAAATACAATTGGTTACGATTGAAATACATGGAGGAATGAGCTATAAAATAGATTCACTCAAATTTCTGGTAATAGCGAAGACATAGCAATGGATGTTATCAATTTTCTCTCCTAAATGACTATTTGTATCCTGTAGGATCTCTCTCTCTCTCTCTCTCTCTCTCGGTCTCTCTCGGGAGCAACTCGCAGGTGGTTGCATAGCTGATAATCAAAGAAATATGGTTACAACTTACATGTCTTGAAATGTGTCGTCTTTGGCAACCATGGTGCATACCCCAAAAAGGAATTTCATAAAGAAAACAGACTAGCATAATTTTGCAGGAACGTTTGGCTTGTACAAGCTTTTACGTGACATTTTAATGCTCAGCAATTCAAAACTGGGTCATAGAGAGAAAATCGATCAGATAAATGACTTACAATTCAGAACTCATAATTTTACTGATACAAATATCGAGGATATTACATTATTTTCATCAAACAATGAGCTAGCTATCACGTTCCCAAGTCTCGAGATGACAACAAACAGAATACTAGAATTCCTTTAGATTCTTATGAAGCATAAACGATAACCAGATTTTATCAGCTTCATTTTACCACGTACAATCTAGAAATTTCACAAAATTCTCTGCCTATACTCTACTATTCAATAATCTTAAATGCACAAATAATGATCTTTCAATCTTTTTAGCACTTGGGTCAATCCTTACATCTCAATTGACTAGCTTGTAAGCTGCTTCATTGACACAATGAACAACAATATGTCCAGAAAGGGAAAATTGAAAATATCCAGAAAAAGAATCAGCATTTCCTTGAAACCCTAATGGATCCAATGACCCATATCAAAACATCAGCCAACAGAACACATTCATTCAACAAATAACCTTCAAATACGTAAAACCAGAAAGCCTATCCATTATGAAACAAACTCAATCTAAAAACCCCCAAAACATAGAAAATATATCAAAACTTTACAAGAAGCTCATAATGATCATCATCTTTAAACAAAACCCAGCAGAAAAACCAATAACAAATATAAAATAACATGCAATTTTCACATATACATTTCTAAAAATATCTATGCCTCTGTACATATATACTGATTATGAATCACAGATGATGAAATGAACCTTAAGGGTACCCTTGCAGTGGTGGCACCTAAAGCAAGCTTTGTGGTAAACCTTGTCATCAGCTGCGAGCTCATCCACCAAATACACAGTCTTTTCACATGCCTTGCACTTTTGGGTTGTCCCTCCAAAAGTTGCCATCCCCTCGATCGGATTTTCAAAACCCACAAAAGATTCCACAAATTAACTTCAAAGCAATTGAAACTGAGGAGCTCTCGTCTTGATGAATAGAAGAGCGAACAAATTTTAAAATCCTTCCACCTCGCTTTTACCCTTTCTTTTCTTTTTCTCCTCTCTTGTAATTAGGGATTGCAAAATACCTCGCCCGTTAAGTACCCGCCCCACTCTTCCGTTTCTATGGGTGGTTAAAAGATTTTGAAGCTGGAATTAGACTAGATTAAAATTTAGGCATTTTTATATTCAAAATTATTAACTACTATTTGTTTAGAAAATTTTAATTTATTCTATTTCAACTACTAAATATCCTTTTATATAGGAGTAATTTTTTTTTTAAATCTCAAGTTACCATTGAGAAGTTAAATCTTATTTTATCTGCATAAAAAGAAAAAACACAATTAAAATTTGTTTCATTAATTTACTTTTGTTAGATTCGTAATACAATTACGAAAATATTCTACAAAACTCGTCTCCGTTCCCGCCACGCGTTGTCCCATTTAATAAACAATTTTGGACGAGAATGAGGATTGTGGTGATGGGAAAAGGATGGCGATTCTCGCCCCAAATCACCCATTGCCATCTTTACTTATGATTATTTGTTTATTTATTTTCTTTTCCTCTTACTAAATAAGAGAAGAAAACAAATTATCTGTTGGATTGGACTACACATGCCATCTCAGTTGAAAATCAATTGATGTCCAATGAGGATAGGATAGACCTTTTTTGGATTTCAACTCCAAACCTACTCGTGCAAAGGGACGGCATTGTATGCTCCACTGGCCAACACTATCCATTTTGTTTTCTTTTTTTCTTTTTATCTTCCATTTTCTTCGTCTCGCTTTGTAATACCCTTATATTTTAAAAGTTTATTTTATCTAATTTATATACATTATTTGAATTAATTACATTATTTGAAGTATTTGTTTCTTTATGTTATTTAATTGTTTAATTGAATTGATTGAATTATGTTTTAATTAGTTAATTAGGTTACTTAAAATTATTTAATGTGTATTAATTGCCATTATTTGCTTCATTGTGGAATTTATGTATTTAATTAGTTGTTTTCTTTCATTTGATTATGTATGGATTCGGCTTAGAATTAGTAGAACTCAAAGGAATAGGTTTGGACTAGTTGAGGAAGGCCTAAATTTATTTGCGGAGGCTTTAGGCCCATGGGAATGTTGGTGTATATATATATATATATGTGTGTGTGTATATTAAATGTCTTTGTTAAACACTAATTGACTCTAGAGGGGGGGGGGGGGGTGGGGTTTGGCCAATTTTTCAAATTTGCAACTTTAACTTCTATTTAACAATTATGCAATAATCAATTAAAGTAGATAAATAATTCAAAACATAAATGTAAGAGAGATAGGGATAAGATATTGCAAACAATGATTTAGAGATTTTAGCGAGATTCGGAAACTCCTACTCCTCGCCTCAAGATCCCTCTTGAGACTTCCCAATCCACTAGAGCTTCTCCTTAATAGTGGAGACCAAACCTTCACATGAAGCAAGCCCTTGCTTCTCTTTTTTGCTAGGAGAACACCATTCTCCTAGGCTTTTTTTTGGGTCACACCAACCCTTACAAGTTTATAACAAAGTTTGTAATTGAAATACAAGATTGGATCTCTCTCAAGATAGGTGTACAAGTGTAAGCTCACAACTAGAGTAAATATATGAAATGAAGCTCCAATCTCTAAGATGATATGAAATAAAAGAGATATGGAATAAGTGATCAAATGAGGACTTGAGTGCTCTAGAATAAAACTCTTCAATGCTCTTCAAATGCTCTCAATAGTTGTGTGTGTACAACACAAGCTGTAGCCCCTATTTATAGAGAGAGGAACACAATATAGCTATTGGAGATGATGTGTGAATAGTCAAAGTTTGCAGGTAGTCATTTGATTTGAAATTGACTCTATGTCGGTTGGCTGATGGAGTATCTTCGGTCGGCTGAAAGTCTCTTGTTAGCCGGCTGATCCCTAATCATCGGTCGGCTGAAACGATGGTTGAAAAACACCAACTCTTTGTTTTCATAAAAGCTTCTTGTCGGTCGACTGATGACTACTCTTCGGTCGGCTGATGCATTTCTCATAAAATATATTTTTCATGAAACCCTTATCGATCGGCTGAACCTTCAAGTTCGATCGACCGAAATGTTTGTTAGCCAAAACCCAACTCTCTATTTTCTATATTAGCCGACTGGTGCTTCAATTCAGTCGGCCAAAAAGTCCTTGAATGTGAACCTCCTTCTCTGTTTCTTTGTGCTAGGCTTTCAAAGACATATTATGGACCATATATGATGCCATTTAAATCATGAAATGAGGAATGAATGATCCTAGGATGTAAGCTTCATGACATTCATAAATTACTTTAATATTTAAATCTAAGGTGCTCACCAAACCTATCTACCCCATTTGAATTGCTGGTCTTGATTACTTTTCTTCTCCGTATTTCATCTTTGAAGTTTGGAATTGAATTATTTGTCTTCTTTTGTCCTTAGAGTGCATAAAATGTATCTTGTTTGGCTTTACCTTTCCTAGTTTTTTACTTCATTTTTAGACTTCAAATGACGAACCTGTTATATGTTCTCAAGGCAAATATTAGTCTTTAAAACATCATTAATGTTTTGTGATCATCAAAATTAGTCTTAGGGTTAACAATCTCCCCCTTTTTGATGATGACAAAATATTGATGTGTTTTAGAAATAAGTGGAGTTGCAAAAAAAAAGCTCCCCTATCTTTATCCACATTTGTAATTCATAGCAAGGTAATCACATAACAGTTTTAGTTTGTAACTGAAAATAGGCATTATACATTTTAACCTCCCCCTATCTTTGTGCACAACATATTAAGAAATAGGCAATAAGCATATACAAAGATACATATAGAACCAAGGTAATTTTTTTTATTAACATGATATTCAAGGTTGAGTGCATATAGACATGAAATTCCAAAAAATAAACAAATATATCAACAACCTAAGCCAAACACCACCAAAATAAACCAATGTTCAACACATCTCCTCCCCCTTTTTGTCATCCTTAAAAAGAAAATATAGCTTAGGGAGGCTAAAAAGACTTTGAAAATAAAGTAAGATAAACCATAAAGTAAGATAGAGTGAACCCCAAGCAGAAAAGAAAAATAATCCTCAATATGGAGGAAGATCGGCACTAATACGCAGCTCCAGGAGATCCTTTTTGATGGCGTCGATATCACCCTCAATAGTGTAATGACCTGAAAATTTCCCTTCCTTTTCTTTTTCCTGAAATTTTACGGATAAATTTTTTCCGTTTAATTTTCCTTTCTGAAATCTGTTTCTTGTCGCTTAGTGTCATCTCGAGTGCTTGAAAATAATTTCTGAGACTTTTTTCCATGGATTGATAACTTCCTTTGAGAACCGAGTCATTTCCACATTTTTCGTTTTTCGACACTATGCACTATTTCGTCTTTTTCCCTATTTTGTCTTTTCCCTGTTTGTCAGTTTTTGGCATAACCTCACTTTTCGTGCTCGGAGTTAGTTTTTGACTTCACATATCTTGATCTTGCGTGGTTTCCACGAAATACGTATCTTCACTTTTTCAAGAAAGTACTCTGGTTGCTTCCGGTGTCCATAGGGGTATGGATGCACAATTCTTTGGAATTATTTTCTTTTCTTGGGGTATTTTTCGTAAATATATTTTAAAAATATTTTACTTTAGGGGCATCTAAGAAAATATCTTTTGGAAGATATTTTCATTTAGGGGTAGTTTTGCAGTTAACCCTTTTTATAGGGGCCATTGTGCAATTAACGAAAGTTATTACAAAATATCTTGTCTGGTGCCTGGATCCTCATATAGGATTCATTTTCACATTTTGTAGAGTCGTGTACTCATAGAATTCCGTTCTGGTCGTTTTTCTCCAGTTTCAGAGTTTCTGACCCTAGTTTGCGCCGAACTTGTTTGGGGCATATCTCTCTACTCGGGACTCAGTTTTTGACTCCGTTTCTTCCGTTATTCATATTTTCTTATTTGGAATCTTTTTCGTTCACGGAGTTTTTCCGTTTGAGCACGTTTGCTCAAAATCCACTTTTCCAGACCCGGCGGGGCCCTTTCGGGGCACTTTTTGAGATTTTCTATAAATAGGAGGCCTAAAGAGAAAAAGTGAGATTTTTCTCTCTCTCTCTCCTCTCTTCTGGCCGGAACCCATGTCACCCATGGCTGCCACCTTCTCTCTCTTCTTTTGGTCCACTTTTCCTTGGTAGAAATCCTTCGGCCTTAACGTTTATTGTTCCCCTCGACGTGTTCTACCTTATGCCTTATTAGAATTCATTTCTGACGATTTCTTGAGTTCGGGTTTGAGGTCAAGTTGAGATTTTCATGGGGCTTCTTGCAGCTTCTTGTTCATCGTGTTGTCCCCGACAAAACCCTTCGGTATCGTCGGATTCGGAGCACTTTTTTTTTCGGTGGGCCTTTAAGGTTTTCATCTCAAATTGAGGTAGGGGATGTTTTAGGTTTAATTCTTGTTATATAGCATGCTATTGATGCTTATACAACTTGATTACATGCTTAAATATGAAATCTAGAGATTTTATTATTTATTTTTCTTGTACGGGATCTGATTTTCCCGGTTGCTCATGACTCGATTTAAACATGTAGCATGATATTATATTAACCCTTGATATGCTCACTGTCGTGTATTAAATTTAGAACATTTGAATAAGTATTAAAGCTTTTATTTAATATTTATCCTAAGTGAAAGATTAATTCACATGGCCTTAATTAGCTTGAAGTTAATATGTGTAGCATATTATATTAGGCCCTAGTATACTCCTCAACATAGATTAAATTGAGAGTAATTGGAGTTATTTTGAAATCTAGTATTTATTAATTAATTTGATTAATTAATTTGCTCCGGGTATACTATTCACCCCATTGGAATTCCGACTTGACATTCTTGATATGCATGCTATATGGTTTCACATATATTAAATCTAGAATATTTGATTAGGTTTTGAAACCTTTCATTTATTTATTTTCTAGTATTAAAGTTTAATACTCGTGGTCTTCTCTTGCATGGAATTCACTTGTGTCGTGTTTTTAAATCAAGTCTTGGCATGTTGTATAACATATATTAATTTGAGATCATTTAGGTGAAGTTCAAAACCTAGAGATTTTA